AAACAAGCCACAAGACACCCTTCAAATCAGGAAAACACCCTGGCACGGCGTGACGAAACAGCCTCCTGCCGTCCCTCTGCCCGGGCCAAACGTCACTCCTGAACCGAATGAAAAAATCAAGGGTCTGGCAGGCAATTGTTCCAGGCACACAAACCAAGCCACAAGACACCCTTCAAATCAGGAAAACACCCTGGCGCGGCGTGACGAAACAGCCTCCTGCCGTGCCTCTGCCCGGGCCAAACGTCACTCCTGAACCGAATGAAAAAATCAAGGGTCTGGCAGGCAATTGTTCCAGGCACACAAGCCAAGCCACAAGACACCCTTCGAATCAGGAAAACACCCTGGCACGGCGTGACGAAACAGCCTCCTGCCGTCCCTCTACCGCCAAACGCCACTCCTGAACGGAATAAAAAAATCAAGGTTCTGGCAGGAATTCCACTGTTGGGGCACAGAGCTCCATTGTTCCAGGCACAGAAATCTGTGCACGGAGCACCAAAGACACTTCGAGCTGGGATCTCGGCAGGCAATTCCACTGTTGCAGGGGCACAGAAACCTGTGCACCGAGCACCAAAAACACTTCGGGGTGGGATTTCTAGATAAAGAAGCAGTAGCACACCTTATGGCCACAATTGATACAACAGAACATACCATTTCGGGGCGCGCTCCCCCTTGCTGCACCACGGGGTCGGCGGATATATATATAGATATATATATTTGTGTTTCCCTTATAGTAGCGCCAGCGCTTGCTTGAGCAAGTCTTGCGCACATTTGTCTTATAACGTATTATTGGGATACATTCTCAAGTGCTTTCTCCTGCTCTTAGCTTTGGGCTTTGGGTTGATCTTTGTCCTGCTACTTCCATTGCTTCTCTGCCTGCGTAGCAGTTACCCTTGCTATATTCTTTGCTATTCCTATCATACTTATATGTTATAAAATGTCAAAAAAGGCCGTGTGAGCAATAGATTAGTGATTAGTATATGAAAGGGTTTTCGTAGGTTCAGAATTGAGAGTGCCCTGTCAAGGTCATTTTCAGATTTCATTACAGAGTTGAATGAAGATGTAGACAGAGCGGCCAACTCTAAGTCTAAGTGTTGGATTGATTACAGAAAATTATATCCCTGCGAACCGTTGGACCTCCAAACGTTGAAGTTTGGGCCCTCCAAACGTTGAAGTTTCCAGGTTTTGGACGCCCAACAGTTGCTGCTTGGTGCGACCAAGGGCGCCACAATGAACCCAAATGGTCCTCCCAACAGAACCCACCCCCGTCCGAACACGCCCGGCGACTCCTTTGTCGCACCGATGGAAGTCTGGCTCTCTTTCTCTGAAGCCAAAACGCGCGCAGTGTCTTCGACGTTTTAACCTCCACTCGCTGAAGGTCTTCGACTGCCCTCGGCGGTGTTGCTATCACTGCGCTTCTTCGACGGCCGCAGCCCTTCTCGAGCGCGCCAAGCATTCCAAGCCGAGTATGTCAACCAACTTGGGCACTACCCCAGCATTGATGCCATCAAAGGCGTGCACTTGCCGTGCCATTGTGACGATGAGCCAGCCAGCACCTCAATCATCCCTGGGAAGCGTAAGCTGGCTTTCACCACAAATTTCCAAGAACAGTCCCCAAGCGCGAGCCGTTCGAAATCCCAACTGAACCCACGCCCTCCGAACACGCCCGCCGACTCCTTTGTTGCAGAGTCGCACCGATTGAGGTCTGGCTCCTTGACTTAAGCAAAAACGCGCGCGCTTGGTAGGCCTGTACACAGCTTGCCAATCCTACCGCTAGACAAGAACACCACGGAAGCCTAGGCGCCTCTGCCAGAAGGGACTCTTCACACCCCACCACATGAGAAGCGTCAGAAGTTGGCTTCTTGCAGTAATAGTATGTATTAGTTAATTTATGTCATATCATATCATATCATATGTTGACTTCAAAAGGTGTTTTTCGTTGGCGGAATGGCAATAACTTTGTTGGCTGGGCAGTTTTCTTTCGATATTCTGTGGTGTGTGGAAACGTTTGCGCAGGATGCATGTGTGTATATATATACATATAGTCGATATAGTCGAGCACGGGCAGTACACAGGAAGCTGCCTGGGCAGAGCATTGAGCCGGATGAGAGAGACATATTTCACATTGCACTTAGCAGAACTGTTGACGCTTACTGGGGGTACCCGATTCTCTTTGCACTTCTGGCTGTCAACTTGCCTTCTAAATGTCCTTTCTTGTCCTTTCTTCCTTTTTCCCTCTATGTCTAAGTATGCCTTTTTCCCTGCTTCTTTTCCTTTTCCTTTTCCCTTTGGCTTCTTTTTTTGTTTCCTGTCCTCTCTAATTTTCTTGTGCTGTTTTCCTTTTCTTTCCTCTTCTTTTTCCGTTTTCTTGGTCCTTTCTTCTTTCTCTTGTCCTTTTCTCTTCTGCTTTTCCTACACTCTGGCCTATTTCCCTGCCCTTTTTCATTTTCTTCTTCCTATGTATTCTGTTTTTCTACCAATTCCTTTGTTTTTCCAACTTTTGTCCTTTTCATATCCCATTTCACGTCTTCTCAATCTTCTCTGTCTTAGATACCACCTGTAGCATTAGTAAGCAGCAGGTCAGCATTCCAGGACGGACAGATCATATGCCTGTTCTGACCCTTGGTTGCCTATGTGCTCGCTGGGGGTGCTTTTCATGTCCTGCTTTTTTCCAATTTTTACCATTTGCTTTTGCCTTTCCCTTGCTTTCCTTTTCTTGTCGTTTTGCCTTTGCTTGATTCATTCGTTCCATGCTTTGGTCCTATTCCTTTCTTGCTTCATTGGTGTTTTCATGGTTCTTTTCTTTTGCGTTCTCTTGGCTACTATTTTAACACTTGTTTTCTGTTCTGTGCTCCTTTCCCTACTCTTCAAGTTTTCCCCTCTTATTTGCGCCTTGTCCTTCTTCTTGCCCTCTTTCATACCTGTTATTGTCTTTTCATGTTCTATTGAGCCACAGCGGAGTGCAGTAAGCAGACCGCCTTTGTGCTTACTGGGTGTGCTTCCCTGTTCTTGTTGCTTTTCCAAGTCATGTGCCTTTTCCTTTTCCTTCATCCTTCTTACAGTATATACTATGTTCCCTTTCTTATTTGAATGTGTCCTATATTTTCCTTGTCTCAAACAATTTTGCACTTGTTATTTTCCTTGTTCTTTTTGCATTGGTCTCCCTTTACCTTTCCTTTTTCTTTTCCTGTCCCTTTTCCCTTTCCTTTTCGATTTCCCTTTCCTTTTCCCTTGTTCTTTCTCTGTGCTTTTCCTTTTCTTTTCCTGTTTTCTTTTCTGTCCTTTCCCTTTTCCCTTTCTCTTTCTTTTTCCTTTTCCTTTCCATTTTCATTTGTTCTTTTCTTTTCTTTTCTTCTTCCTTTTCCTTTCCATTTCCCTGTCCTTTTCCTGTTCCGTTTCCTTTATTCTTTTCTTTCCCTGTAAGAGGTGTGGTTACTGAACATGTTGCTGGAACCCCTTTAAGAAGCATGGTTCGAGAACAAGCGTTTTTTGCAACGCAAGCGCTGCAAAAAATTAATGTTCCTGCCTACCATCCGTCTCTGGCTATATGCGTATATATATATATATACAAAAACACACATATATATATATAGATACACATGCTGATGCAAAAACAGACAGCCTTAAGTTCAATAGATTTCACAAAGCTCCCCAGGGCCCCCCTCATCAATCAGCGCCCGTACATACTTTAATTCGCCCGGCAAGAGACCCCAAACAGTGTGTGTGTGTGTGAGGTCTAGAGGTGTAGTAGCAGAAAGTCTAGAGATCACAATGATCACACGCATTTTGGGGTCCAGAGAGGTGATGGTGGCGATGCAGGTGGAGATTGTGGTGATGGTGGCGGTGGTGGTGAGCGTGTGCGCCTGCAACGAAATCTGCACTCCAAAACTCACGACGCATTGCACCTGTCACGAAATCAGGGCGCCTCGAAGATCACCACCATGTCCAATGCGTCTGCCACACATCGAAGTAAAACCGTTCCGATCCCTGCACCTGTCACGAAAAGTCAATTTCGGACCACCGCAACACGAGGTTTCCCTGGCGCCTGCCACGAAAAGTGACCACCATGTCCGAAAATGCGCACGGCACCACAACGAGAGCGCGGTCGCGACAAGCGCCCGCTCCAGCCACCTAGGTTTTGCGAGCCTGAAATGCACTTGGAGGACTTCGAGAGGAATGACTGTACTGTGAATAGCAGCGAACTAGCCGCACACGCCCGCGCGACACCTCCGATTAGACACCAGTGCTTAACCGCTACCGTAAGAACCCCTAGTGTGTCCACACTGTTTGGAGGAAAAAGTTGACTTGATCTATCTATCTATCTACCTATCTATCTATCTATCTATATGTATATATATATATATATTTACAGTGTATATACAGTATATACACATACACATGCTCAGGTACAAATAGAGGTGCATATACATACACATTACAACGTTCAAGGCTCCACAGAGCACTGAACGAAGCAGTGGAATGTGGTCTTCGAGAGACAGAGCTGGCATCCGCCCAGGACAAACCGTGAAACAATTATTTACGTTGTATTTTTTGTTTCGAGCAGGTGTATTTAGAACTTTATGTTTTGCTGGAGTATATAACAGCAGTGTCAGGACACCCTTGCTGTGGCACTACAGTTAGCTGAGACGCGACGTGAACTGGAGTCTGCAATGAAAAGCCGCGACCCAGCCAGGCCTTATCAAAGCTAAGGAAATGTTTGTTTGCATTCTCAGCCTAGCAGGCTTGCGGCAGCCATTGCAAAAGGCCAACAATGTGAACTGGGACCTGAGCTGGAAGCTGCGAATGCTGTTCTGAAGGAGGCTGGCAAACAACTTGATTCTGATCGAGTTTAAGGAGCAAGAAAAGCAGACACCCCGCCAGAGGCAATTGTTTGGACGCAACTACAATGTGACATGAAATGTAAAGCATATTGAGACACAGTCAAGGTGGTAAAACCGGACCAGACTCTAATGTCCATTGTGTTCTCGTGGTGATGCTGATACTTGTAATCCTGTTCACTTTTTGCAGGCGTGGGCAGAACAGGCAAAAAAGTCGCTCCGGAAAGCCATTGCTGAGCAGGAGGGGATATGTTCCATGCAGATCTTGCAGCAATCGGACCATTCGGGCGTGACTTGATTCTGCTTTCAGTGCAGGATGTCAGAGCATTGTTCCGGGCTGTGGCCGAAAGCGAAGCGGTGGGTCTGGAACCTGAGGCGCTTGGGATCAGTTTGAATGGGGAAACATGGAACGCATGGAAGGGAAACAACGAGAGCCACAGAGACTTGTTTTCTGCAGGAGTTGGAGGATGCCAAGCGTGCTTTGGAACGTGAGGCGGCCTCTGCGGCACAGGCGTGCAGCATTGCCTTCGGAATGGACAGTCTTTTTTTTCTGTTCCGCAGTTTACATTGTCTTGGCAGACTGGCAGGACTTTGAGGAACGAATTCTCGAACGCAAAGCCCAACTCCTGCTACCAGCAGCTGAGCTTACCTTTGAGGTAGCGCGTCCAGCACTCCAAGCAGAGGAGGGGAAACAAGCTTCAAACAAATTCAGTGGAATGGATGACGGACACGAAGTCAGCAGACTTGCCAAGAAAGTACTGCAGTGCAAGCGTCGAAGAGTGTCCAAAAAGGCATTAGTTGAACATCAAAGGAAGGAAAGAAATAAAGAATGAGTGAATGAATGAATGAATGAAAGAAAGAAAGAAAGAAATAATGAATGAATGAAAAAAATAAAGAAAAAAGGAAAGACATCAAGATAAGGAAACAGGAAAGAAAAACAGTAATAGAGCACACCAAGGGCAATGCCTTGACATAAGATCCCTTGCTATCAGGGCTATGGTGGATTCGACTGGAAGGTCCGTGAGAACATTGCGTTCACCACGGTAGCAGTGGGTCAAGAACTTGCGGTGGCGCTGGAGAAAGCATGGTTCACCAAGAAGTCGTTCCTTGCCGTCCAATGAGAATAAATATAGAAGGTAAAGGGGGCCTTATTAAAGGTGCTTATCTTTGTTTTCCGCACCAGTGAAGCTTAGGGGTCTTCAGCCTGGTAAAGGCCTCGGAGCAGATCGGAGCAGGTTCCAGAGCAAGTTCCGTTCTGGAGGGAGGTTCTGAAGCAGGTCCCGCACATGTTCTGGAGCAAGTTCCGGAGCAGGCCCCGGAGCAGATCGTGCAGCAAGTTCCTGAGCACCATGCAGAGCAAGTTCCGGAGAAGGTTTTGGAGAAGGTGCCGAGCTTCTGCTCAAGTTCCAAGAGGTCGGAGAACAGGTTCTGGAGCAAGTTGCAGAAAATGTTCCGGAGAAGGCTTCGGTCTTTTGGAGCAGCTTCCCACAGGCTTCGGAGCGCTATGCAGGTATAATGTGATGCTGTTGTGACAGTGGCGCCGTGACACTGACACATCATGATGCTGGCCTGTTGTCAAGCTGACATGTTGACACGACCTCAGCCATGCTGCTTGTGGAAAAACCTCCTAACACTTCGCGGTGTGCATAGAGAATGCAGTCTCACAGACAGACGTCTAACCAGGCTGACGTGATTCACATTGCAAGGCTGATACGCTGGCGTGGTGTCACCCCAGCAAGTTGTCAGGCTCTCATGCTGACTCATTGTCATGCTGGTTTGGGGCATGCCAAAACGTTTGCACGATGTGCTGCTGAGACGCGGCAATCGTGTCATGCTGTCCTGCTATCTTGCTTGCGGGCTCCAAAGCCGGAAAACACTTCTTTTGTTTGTTGCGGTATTGTTTTCACACTTGTGCATGTGTGGGCAGATGTGCTACACCGACGTATTGTTGCCGTGTTGATTGAAATGCTGGCGTGGCGCATCGAAAAAGTTCGCGCTCTTGAAAACAAAGGTGTTTAAGACACACGCCACTTGTTGATAAGCTTGCAAACATTGTATGTTTATTTACCAGTTTGTTGCCATTGCTGGGCCGCAAATTCATGCCCAACCGTTTTCTTTGTAATTGTGCGTATATTGCAATTTTGCTATCAATCAGTGTAGTGCAGCCAAACTGTTTTAACCATGTGCAAAGAGCCAATGTTTTGAAATTAAATCCCTCAAGGACGGAACAGTATCAGTCGAAGTGATCCACTGATTTGTTCAGTGCCATTTGCGGTTGTTTATGGAGAGGATTGGGCAACAAAAACAACCCATCACCAAGAAGTATCAAATCACCATAAGGAATCGTGAGTCAATCCTCATGACTTAAAGACGCGGATTGCAAAGACACCCACAATTTATTGTTGAGAAGTGCCCTGATAGCTGAGGGACATTTTGGACGAACTTTGCCACAACCTTCGCAGCTGCTCTATGTCATCCACAGGAAGGGTGTGCAAAGTAGAAGTTGCTTGGTCAAAGCCAATGTTCCGGAAAAAAACACTTGCAAAAAATCTTCACGCAGACTGCTATTGAAGGCTGTGATGTTTTATTATTGCTATCCACCTTTGCAATTGACATCTTAGGCTTTGGACAGGAGAGTTTTGCTGAAGTTGGGCAGTGCTCTAAGATGATTGAAATGAACCATTTTGACGGGCGGAAACACTCCGCTTGCATGTCCTTGAAGTGAAAAGTGGTGTGTAGGTTTCTCATTTAGAAATTTCAGGTCTTGAGTTGAAGTCTCAGCTGGGCCATGAAAGCAGCACAAGCTGGGCAAGCTCTCCCATCGTCATGGTAGCCATGCTGCTGTATACTCAGCTACTTGGAACAAACACAGTTGCGCTGTGTCTCATGGGCGTGCGCTGTGAATGGTTTGAATGGATACGTTTTCCGCGCATGCAAAACTTGCGCATGACTTCTGCAGTAGCGCGCCTGGTTGAAAAATGACTAGGATTGCAGGAGAGAGCGTCCCCAGAGCTGGCAGGCAAGATGTTGACACTGACCGAAGCATGCTGTTCCCTGATTGCCCCTCTTCTGCTGTGGGTCAGCGATTATTCCGAGAAAAGAAGGAGGCGCCTTTCAGAAAAACAACAAGTTCTCCACGCAGAGCATGGAGAGACATTGCAAAACAATGAAATGACTAGGGAAACAGTGAAGCGAGCAAAACCAATTCAAGAGTTATATATATATATTATCGGACTTTTGAAGTGACTCTTTGTCAGGCATATGATGCTTACAGAACTCGGGTGGCCTCTGGACTGGCAACACGCAATCCGATGCTGTTCACTGAGGCGCCTTGTACAGCAAGCGCGGAGGAGAGACGGCACCTAAATCAGTGATACTGTTGAATCAGGTGAGCCACGTGGCGGCTGCTGTGCTTCAGTCTGCTTTGCAGGGAATGCAGGCAGATCAGTCTCGCAGTAAACGCACGTATGACAAAAAGACGTTCGTGCACCTTCACTGAAATTCCAATCTACATAGTTTGCCTGGAAGGATGGGAGCAGGTCTGCAGAGCCACTGCAGAAATGGGTGAAGACTGCATGTCTTTTGAGCCCCTTGGCTCAGACTCAGAGGATCAGAAGGTTGTTTGCATAGTATATTGATGCTTTCCTGTCAGGTTCGTGCCGTGAGAAAGCAGAAGATTCAAGGACCCTCACCAGGATATTAATGACTCTCGGCTTCAGACGCAGCGGTACGTTAATCTTAGTGCCTTCTAAGAGCCAAGCCAAGAGATGAGCTGAGGAATGTATCTGACCGGGGTATACAAGAGCTGCAGAACAAGCAGAAGGACGACGCATGTTCTTTGGAACAACTGCTAGAAGCCACCATACAGAGTCACCAGGAAATCGTTTCAGGAAGTGCACAGAAAACAAGATTTGAATCACAGAAGTGCATTGTTTTGCCTTTGGTTTCTATTGTTTTCCTGAGCAGGAAGATATTATTGTTTGCCCACATATCCTGAGCACGTCATTGAACCCTGATTATGTGGAGAAGTATCTTCACTTGGGTGCATGGTGCTTGGAGCGGCATGTGGTCCTCAGCATCAGCAACTTAGCAACAGTTTAGACTTCAGAGGTGGCCTCAGTGACAATGTTCGAACAACTTTTAGCATCACTCCGCACGGATCCAGCAATGAGTTTGTGCTGCAAAAAAGAGAACACAGAACCACAAGAACCTCGCCCAGGGGTGGACCGCGATGTGACAGAGTGCCTCAATCTGTCTGCAATCAGCCAGTATCCTGAAGAGAAGGAGCTTTGCTTGACCCAGTCGTAAGTGCAACTTGAGCAAAGTTCTTAAAGCAGTCTGGAAGACATAGACATAAGACCACTATCCTCACAAGTTGTCAGTTGCTTGAGTCTGGAATAGTTTGTCTGCTGTCCAGCAAAGTCTTTTGCTCGGCATCGACATCAACAATAGCCTCCATGGGATATAGCCCATACCTACAAGGATTACTGTAAATGTTGTGTCCAACTGAGGGAATCTGCTGCTCGGGAATTCTTGACTTTGCCTGGACACAGGAAGTGCTGCTGCCATTCCTCTCGGTCCTGAGGATACAGGACATTTCGTTTGGCCCCGGCGAACCAACTCGAATTTCTTGCCAATTTCAAGGCCAGAAGTGACAGATTGGAATCGCCGGACTTTTCATTGCATTCCCTGATCATGATAGTCATGGCAACTTAAGCTTCAACACATGAATCTGGATCCATGATCTTTCGGAGGGAGAATTCCCTTGTTGCAAAAAGCTGCAGTTGGCATGTGCGTGATCGTTGCGCTTAAGTGCAACAAGATGATTTGCATGCATGGACCGTCGCATCAAAACCGATTCTTGCCGTTGCATCTCCAACAAGGAACATCAAGACCGAAGACCACCCAGCACCGTACACAAGAACTCATCGCGCATGTCTTGAGAAAGAGCAAACAGAACCTAGCTGTACCCACCAGCTCTGTTGGAGCATTATATGGGTCGCGTGAATTTGAGTTTGGCTTTGCATTTTGACTGAAGGCTCCATGATGAGCTCTCGTTTGAGATCGGCGTGTTTGTCAGACCTGACCATGGCTTCCTATGAGCTGGTCCAAGGCTAGGTCTCAACTTTCGTGGACGCCAGACTTGCGTATGGCGGTTAGGACACTACATCTACTGCGATACAGAGCGGTTACACAGTTAGCCTTACTGTAATACCCTAATCTGACAAGTGCCAACATCAGCCATTTGGTTGTGCAAAAAGACCTTGCAAACCATTATGGAAGGAAGGCAGCTATCAAGAGTGCATGTTGGGAAAGACTTGAGCATCATTGCCAGCAATGAGCATACAGAAGGCATTTTGTGATTTACTTTTTCACGAGTAGGGCACTGCTCCAGCTTTTGGACAGTGGAACTGTGGAAGGTTTGGAGGAACTGCCAACACCTAGTCCGCTATCCCTGAGCCTGGAGCAGTCCAAACTAGATCGCCTCTTGGAACGCTCTGAGTGCAACAGTGTCCAGCATATGCTTTTTGTTTGCTTAAGCGAGCTCTGAAGTCTCAGACCCAGTTGCAAGCCAAGGATCCAATATCTTTGAGCCGAACCAGCATCTTGGTTGCAGCAGCTTCCAGGTGGGCTTGAGCCAGAACCAACGACACATAAGAGTAGCAAAAGCAAACCTTTCCTATCGGCACTGCCTCCTGCACTTTTGTTTGGCTCATGGATTGAATTTCATCCCAACCACTTGCCAAAGTTCAAATGCATTGTGTGGAGCCTCCCTCTGGAAGGTCGAGCAAGGGAGAGAGCATAAGAGCAACAACTGCGGTGTGTTCATGAGTGGAAACAGTCTGAGAAGACTTAGAGAGGTGGCTTCTTTATTGTTGCTTGACCGAACACATGGCGGAGCGTTGAGCTGGAATGCCTTTGCATGAACCCACGGCTTTTTTGAGTCTCTCCGATGCCGGCAATCAAATGGACATCTGAGGTACAACAGCAAAGTCTTCCAGTCACTGGTTCATGCATTTGAAGCACTGGACCGACGTGGTGCTTGGATGATCAGCCTATCTGACTACTCTTGGGCACAGGACATGTTGGGCATCCAGCAGCATACAGGTTGCATTTTGCCGACAAAGATGTAAAGAGCAAGCTGAAGCTTTTTGATTGAGACAGGGGCATTGAGACGAAACACAACCTCTACATGTTTTTGGCGGAATCAAACTCGGCACCTCAATCTCAATTCCAGGACAGATTGGCCAGGACAGGGATGGAAAGGGTGGCTGGAAGTGTGCTTAACATCCAATCAATGAAAAGTAAAAACCTTTGCAGTTCACGAAAGCTAGCGTTAGGCTACTAGTAGTAACAAGGGCATTACTACTACCAACAAGAAGCTGCGTTGGCTCGCTGAGCCAAGGGGAGGCCTGAGGCCCACTCAGTGAGATTCACCTCTACTAGGAAGAGAAGAGGAGAGGTTACTAGTGGTATTGCCCTTGTTACTACAGTACTAGCTTCTTGTTACTAGTAGCGATGCCCTTGTTGTTAGTAGCGATGCCCTTGTTCCAAAAGGCACCCTTTTCTCTTCTTAGTTTTGTTTGTTAGGCCATCGCTACTAGGGTGGAGGCCATCGCTACTAGGGTGGAGGCCATTGCTATGGTGGAAAGATTCTTGATACTCAGCGGTCACAAGTCACCTCTTTCAGCAGTAGCGCCAACAAAAAAGTTAAGCTTTGCGTTGCGGTTAAGCAGAGCATCGTTACTTTGTTAAGTCTTTGCACATATGTTTGAACTCGGGTTACAGAGTGACGCACTTTTGCAACTGATTGCCCAAATTTTCGGAGATCCCTGCTAGCCTCAAGTTAGTCTATCATCGATGGTAGGACTGCGCAAGAGTTACTTTGGTTCCATGAAACGAGCACCTTTCTAGATTTATATAGATTATAGATCCATTGAAGTAGCCGTTTCAGCAGATGAATGTGCTTGAAGCTAAGTCCTGCAACAACTGTGCAGTAGCTTCGCGGTGAAGCGGATTCTTCGAAAGCTCACTCCGCAGCAATCTGAGCCCTTTGTTCTTTTTTTTTGCGAAGCAGGATGACTGAGTCTTTTTGTGTTTCCCTTTGCACTGTTTTTCTCTTCCCATTCTCCTGCAAAGTCTGAACTCTGAGGCATTTTGCAAAAACGCATGATGACCTCTCCTTGCAGAAGTTCTTCACCTTGACTATGCCTGGGGCAACCGAATTCAGTCAGCAAGAATACTACTGCCCAGTCTGACTCGTTATGCTGTGGTTTCTGACACAAGAAAGACCACAAAATATCACGCCTTGCGTTCATTTTGTTGCTCTAGAGTATTTGGCAATCGCCCTTCAAGCTGATGCTAATGATTCTTAAGAAGCCACGTTGCATAACCTACATTCATCGCACAATGTTCCTTTTCACCGCTTCTCAAAGAACATGAACAACTCCACCACTCGTGCGAGGAGTTCTTTCTTCATGCAAGTTGCGTAGCGCCCTTGCTCCTACGAGTAGCTGCTGGCTGCCACGGGTTGCTGCTACGAGTAGCTCATACTACGGCCTCCATGACTCCCCACCCCAAAAAGAAACAAACAATTTCTGCATGAGAACCAACCGACTCCCATCCTCCATCTTTGACCCCCCCAAAGTTCCAAAACTGTCCTCTCACAGGCTCACAGGCCCTCGCTCTCTGAGCCTGATCCACCCCTTGGCAGGTCAGTTTTCATGCTCAAGAAACTTGAGATCCTTTGGCCAAAAACAAACAGGCCTAATTACTGCTCCCTACCAAAATGCTCTGGTGCTTCAAACAAACTATGTCAACTGGTTTGGGCACAGGTTGACAGTTGGTAGGTAGAAACCTGGGCGTCACTTGCTTGACAACTGTTCAGTCATGTCTTCCGGCTTCGAGATCGTTCAAGTTATTTTTCTTTTCTGCCATTTTGGCTAGAGCGATCACCAGGCACTCAATCTGTGGGCCTTGGTGCGATCGCTAATGGCGGATTCCAAGGCGGCTCCAGTGAAAGCGGCTCCAGCAAACAAGGCCCCACCGAAAGCGCTGCCAGCAGCCCTCCAGAGGCAACTGCTCAATGCATGCGAGGCAGGGTGGCACTTCATCAGTTAGTTCCTGGACTCCTGACATGTCCCGATACCTAATGAACACCTTCACCCTGTCCAAGGTCTTGACCACGAAGATGTTAAAACGATATCCGCTGGAGGGAGACCTCACTCACTATACTTGCGATTTTGAGGCTCTAGACGAGTCAAGCCTGATCGAGCGTTCATCCTCACCAGACCTGTTCAGGCAACTGAGCGCTCAATCAACTCGGCGAGCATCCTATTCTTGTTTCGGCCTCACTTTCCTCGACGTGGGCGTCTCAGTCGCGTGATCCATAAAGCTCTGACTCTGAGCAGCTTGCGCGCTGATGCTGCTGCTGCTGTTGTTGAGCAGCACTAGCTGGTGGTGGTGGTGGCGGGGCCGGAACACTGAGCAACTGTGGGCAAAGGAATGTCGGCTGGTGGGAGCTCATCATTTGTCGATTGACCTGCCTCTTTGTCATCTGGCAAGGTCTGGTCGAGAGCGGCTGCCGCAAGAACCAACTACGCGGGTTGGTCGCAGACACACAGTTGAAGCGCCTGCCAGCAAAATTGGCAGTGATCATTGCTGACGATTCGTTGCTGGGCGCAGGAACAAAGGGCTCGCGTGGATGTCGATCTCTGCAGCGTGGAAGACCAGCTCCACGATGCAAGATCATTTAGCAGCTCGTCGAGGCAAGGCGGAGAAGGTTGCTGAAGAGCTTGCGACCACTGATCAAACCTCGGCTGCCATGTCCGAGTCGACGAGGCGCCTCACTTGGTTGGCGTATTGGCCTTGACAGTTTGTCGTCCTAGATCGAAATCATTGAATTTAGTTTCTTGACCCGTGCTTCTTGGATCGACTTTGACCAGTGCAAGTTTGGAGCTCCATCTCCCAGGCCAACTCGGTTGATAGTTTTCTCACCGACTGTTCCAGCGATTCAAAAGCTTGAGGCCAGGTTTGGTCACCATTTTTCAAAGCGACGTGTTCGGGGCTGGCCCTAGAGCAAGGCATAAATTGACTCCCGCCGGTGGAGTGGGTGAAGGGAAAGCAAATGAGTCAAATGAGCAACGTGTAGCCAGCAAAGCATAAGCAAGGCAGCTTGTCCTCAGGGTGGGAGACGCAACGCAAACGGCAGAAGGGGTGTGTGAAAATGCAGAGGTGGGAAAAAGATGGAAAAAGTCAGTCGCGAAGGAGGTAACGTGAATCACGAGTGGGCTCAGACCGGCGCTGAAAAAGGTAAAAGGTCACTCTAAAGCCATGCTATAGGATTTCGAAAAGTCTAGACAAAGGGTCGGTGGCAAGAGCTTGATGTGAACCGTGGTTGGTGTAAAGTGGGGTGTGTTGCAAACTATGGTTGGTGCAAACCGTGGTTTGGTGTAAACGGCGGTGTGGTGCAAACGGTGGTTGGTGTAAACGGTGGTGTGGTGTAAAGGGTGGTTGGTGTAAACCTTGGTTTGGTGTGGCTGGTGTAAACGGTGGTTGTTGCAAACCATGGTTTTCGGTGTAAACAGTGGTGGGTGTACACCATGTTTTGGTGTAAACGGTGGTTGGTGTAAACCATGGTTTGACGTAAGCTGTAAACGGTGGTGTGGTGTAAACGGTGGTCGGTGTAAACCTTGGTGTAAAGGGTGGTTGGCGTATACGGTGGCTGGTGTAAACGACGGTTGGTGTAAACCGTGGTTGGGTGTACGTGGTGGTTGGCGCAAAACGTGGGCAAAATGCCTTTAAAGCCACGCCAAAACGCTGTGAAGCGCAGGCAACGCGCGCGCAGAACGACGACGGCGAAGGCGACGACGACGAAGAAGGCAACGACGAAGGGGGGAGGGGGGGAGCGGGGGGTCAAGTTAGTCGAGGCAAAAATCCGCGCAAAGGAGCAATCTAAAAGATGAACAGCTTTAGTATTTGACAAGACAAGTACAAGTATGCGTCCACAAGACACGCCGGCAGGCCGGCAGATTTGGGATGATCGCACAGCCCGGTTTGCGACTAGTTTTGGGTTGGTTTCCATGGATGCCAGAGGCTGGCTGGTCAGCCCCTTCGTTGGTCTGCTCACTGGCAAGCTGCCAGAGCCTTGAGGGCTGAAGCTAGCTCAAAAAAGGCGCTTGTAAACCCGTGGATCGAAGCTGAGACGTGTAACTTGTGTTTTTTTGGCGCCATGGCTGAAGCGATCGCCAGGCGCGCAAGATCCAACCCGCCTTGGGGAAGTTCGGAAGGAGGTTTGGAACGTCGTGGTGGAGGTTCACCAGTTGTTCAACTTAGGGAGCTTGTGAAGAGAAATCCGCGAAGAAAGTCGCCCCTTTGTTGCTAGTTGGGTGATCACCCCAACCTTGTTCACTTCACTCTTTGATCAACCGGGTGCCACGCCCCCATTCCTGTGGTCTCTCGGAAAATAACAGTGTTCACGCTGCTGCCGCAGACACTTCTCAGTGATTGAAGAAGTGAGCCGTGTGAGCGGATTTGTCCGGTAAGTGGACTCGGTGATTTGTGGCAAGAAGGTTCTGTCACCTCCCAAGAATCGCCGGGTGCATAATTGAATCAATTGAACTATAGAGCAAACCATGTCAGCAACATGTTTGTGAAGCAGGGTGGTTTGAGCTGAGGATGTGCAATTGGAGAAGGCATTCCGTTGGACATCCCGGTATTTGCGCAATGCGGAGCCACGACACTTTGAAGAGTCGCCGGCAACTTGTCTTTGAGTCGAAGTGGATCACCTGGAGCACTCATCAAGAGCCCTTCCCAGTACGCGCAGGTAACGTAGTGTAAAATCAGAACAGGCGACAGAGTGATGTCGAACCACATCCGAATTTCTTCAGGGTTGTGTCTGTGTGATTCAGAGTCGGCTGCAATTTTTGAGGTCAGCCCTCAAACTCCGCAGACACCGGTGATACGCAGTCCCTCGCAGCATCGGCTGCCAACATGGAGATGACAATCACCCCAAGTCATTAGTCATTTTAACACCGAGAGTCGAGACTGGCTATTGCACGCTATAACGAATCTGCTGCCGGGCGTCCAAGTAGCTTGCAGTCCAAATCAACAGATTGAGACTTGCCCAATAATGTCCCCTCCTGGATGTGATGACAATTCTTAAGAACATTGAAATTAAACATAATTTTTTGTTTGTATTTCGCAGATGAACCACAGACCCATCATTCTTGTTTCATCTTGGTTCTCGTCTTCCCGTCTCTGGAGTTCCAGTGAGTTTTTGAACTCGTTGGCTTGCATCATTCGGTGAATGCATTTGAGCGTCTCTTGAAGAGCCCGCCTTGTATAGAGAGTAGAGACGAATAGAGCTTTCCGCTTTCCTTCAAGAGGACGGGGGAGCTACGCCTTTGCGCTGTCAATCCAATCCAGCATTGTTTTATCGTGTTGCATTGGATTTGCTAGCGCGCAGCTTGTTAATGAGATGCAGACAAACGCTCCTTTGTGGAGTGTATGGCAGCTGCAGAAAAATGACAACACTGAGGAAGTGTCTTCCATGTTGGCCCACGAGTTCACGAGGTTTGAGTGCTTCCACATTGCTGCCTCATGATTTGAGAATCCGAGATCAAGGGGACAACAGAAGAGGGAACAAATCATCGAACGCAAAAGGTGCAGTGCAGAGCAGTCACAGATGAGCTGAACTCAATAATACTTCACCAAGCACATGCACGTTTCAATGTACACAGACAAGGTGAGATGAACCAGTTTGAGCATTGCTCCAGGTTGCTAAACTGAGCTGCTAAGCAATGCTTTCGTTTCTCCTCGCGTTCTCACGGTTCTAGATCTTGTACAGTTTTCCAGGATGCTGGGATCTTGGGATGCCAAGTATGTGACACCAAGAATTAGCCCGCTTCGCGTTCAAGGCCTCCCAAATCCAGAAGGTTGAAGCGCAAGCTCAGCGACATTGCGCTTTGCACACATCAAGAGGCGAGGGCAGTATCAACCCTGATTGGCCACTTTGAAGCAACTTTCCCTTTCATTGCATCCCATTGCCGTATGCACAAGAAGAGCTTTAGGATTGTGGCAAGGGGTGGTCAAGCGTTTGCCCTTGAGCTCAGGTGTACAGATTAGTTCGCGATCAACACATACATTTGGCGGAGGCACTTCGGACAACAAAGTTGTTTGCATTCGACAATCACGAGCACGAGCCTTTATTTATCGGGGGCAAGCACAAGCACACTTTGGCATTCCAAAGATGCGATGATGGACTGCCGTTCCACCACAGTGGATAAATGGAAAACTTGGCCTCCCTCAGAGGTAGGGGAGCACAATTAGTTGACAGGAGCTCTACACGTTGGCACGAAGTGAAAATGAAGGCAGGGATGCAGAAGGAACGAGTGGGAAACAAGACAAGTTGCAGGCATTTGTTCCACTTTCTGATTTTGTAGCATTGTGTGCAATATTCGCATGCAGAGCAACTTTGTTCCGTGTATTGGGGATTTGCGTGATAGAATCGAGAGATGTTTCACTGAAAATTGCCACCGGCAATGAACAATTGACATTTTTGAAAATTGTAGGAGGCCATTGCTAGTAGGTTGGAGGCCATCAATCGCTATTAGGTTGGAGGCCATCGCTATGAGGTTGGAGGCCATTGCTCTTAGGAACAATTAGGAGCAAGACAACTTCGGTCCGGCCTTTCGAGTTCAACATGCCCATGGCGGACTGTGGCGATGGAATTCAAGATGCTTCATGTGCTGAACAAAGCAATGAGCTCCGCTACCCTGTTGGCTCAAAACTCAAGGGTAGCCAAGAAGGGCTACCTTTTTCATGAAAAAAGATCTTTTTGATACCGAATCCGATTGAGCTCAGCAAGCTCACTCCATGTACGGCTCAACACCGGCACCACACGTGGCGGAGTCTGAACCTGAGAAGAACTTTGCCGAGTCTGCGTCACCATACGTGGCAGAGTTTGTGGGCTCGTACCTATTGGTTTTCACCATTGGGGTTTGCAGCATTGTTGCAAACCCTTTGTGGGGTCCAACTGCGGTTGGATCAACACTTGTGGTACTTGTATACATATTTGGTCCAATTTCGGGAGCACATTTGAATCCTGCTGTGACAGTAGCCTGTGGTTTGGCAGGCCAAATATCTTGGCAAAAAGTACTGTCATATTGCATCCTACAGATTTCCGCTGGTTTCGTAGCAGGGCTGGCATGCTACGCGGTATTTCAGCTTCCAATGGGAGTTTCTCCCGTTGACCCATTTAGTTTTTGGGATGCAGCCTTCTTGGAAGTGGTGTACACCGCGATGCTTTGCTTTGTAGTTCTCAGTGTAGCTACCTCAAGGAGAAGAGATGACAGTTTGCAGTGAGCTGAAGATTTGCCAATGTATTCATGTCTCGACAATTTTCCAAAAGCACATAAAGATCTACATATTTCTTAGGTGCAAGAGCAATGCAAACATGCGAGAAAAAACTAAAGCCATTCCTGTATTTGGTACTGACCGGCGCACCTCCATGCCCACTTAGAGAAAGAATCAGGTGACCATTTGTAAGGATGGGCCCAGTATGTTTCTCATGTATGATGTGATGACATCAGTGATCCAACGACTATAGATTATAGTTAGTTTATGCTGAACCGACAGCTTGCCCAGCAGGACAAATAACCCAGCCAACAACCAGAACAACTTCTTTGGGCTTGCCATTGGTCTTGTCATAATCGCTGGCGGTCAAGCAGCGGGAAAGATTTCTGGAGCTGTCTTGAATCCAGCGGCTGCAATTGGTCTAGAAGTTGCTGGAGCTGCCAGAGACCACTCTGCCCCATATGGCTTTGCGTACTCGGCTGCTGAGCTTTTTGGTGGAATTGTCGCAGCAGCTGCCTTTCGCTTTGTACGTCGGCACGAACTTTCGGAGTCTGAGCCTAGCTTTACCTCGGGAGTCTTCTGTGAGTGCTTCGGTACCTTCCTTCTTTGTTGCACCATTGGGCTCAGCCTTACACAGCAGTCAGATTCCACGCCTTGGGCCGCTGGTGCTGCCTTAGCGTCCATTGTTTATGCAGTACATGATGTTAGTGGAGGCCACATCAATCCGGCTGTCACTATGGCCGTTGTTCTCAGTGGAAAGTGCAGCCTCGAAAGAGGCACGAGGACAGTCGAAATGCTTCAGATTGTTCAACAGTTTCACCCATTTTAAGTGTTTCCGCACAAGAAGGAGAGTTTCAACTGTTTCAAGCGTTGAATGAAACCGCTTCTATATGTTTAGTAAGGACCAACAAGGAGTACTGACGAAGTAAAAAACATCCTAGGCGGGAATGGAGGAGAGGCATGCAACTACCCCGTGTTACTAGGCTGGCCGTTCTATTTGCAGAAGGGAACCCCCGGCTTCGTGGCAGGAAGGGGGCTGCATTGCATGCGAGAGCAAATTGAACACTGAAAAGAAAACTGAACAGACTCCATGAGCCAACCTGAAGCAATTCCCGTGCTTCACCCACAAGCTTCAGGGTGTTGTGTGGTCCCGAGAAACGATCGAAGGGGATGTTCAGCATCCAAAGTAAAGAAGTGGGGCTTCTCATGAGTCTGGAACTGAACATGGATCAATCGAGCAACCTTATCGGAAAAGGGCATAGGTCTGTGAGACCTTTAAACAGCACAAGTCTCAGCCCCTTGGCCAGTAGAGCGCGGCACTTCTGTCGGAACGAATAACACAAGAAGGCAGAAGTCTGTACCGCACAGGGAGACCTGATCGCACAAGTCAAGAGTTGAGAGAGCCACTCTAGTGACTCTAGTTATTCGATCAGAAGCATGGAGCGGCACAAAGCCCTGCACAAAGGACATGAAGCTGACGACAATCTCCATTCAATAGATTCCTATGTTAGCCCTCCCACCCAGCCATCACCCAGCAGCTGAGGGACCGAGCCTCCAGACCTCAATGAAGCCTCTTGTATTGCCTTCATAATACAATCAAACAGTACAAGCATTGACCATGCAAAACACACCGCAAAAACCATCACAGCCAGATCCTAAGCGCCTAAGCCTCAATCCAGCACCGAAGCTCACAAGTAAACCTCAAAAGAAGACGAGGTTTGGAGGCTTAGGGGCATTTGCGCAAACATTCCAGAGTAGATGTTAGAGGCTTCATGCTCACTGCTTCCATCCAAATTACCCGACCAGGATAAAATTCCAGGCCCGGTGTAGAAGAGAGATCGTTGTGACCTTTTACCCTCACCGCAGAATTAGTGGCCGAGAATCTGCATGAACACTTGCTTGGGCAAATAGCTTTCTGGCTCCTCACAATTGCACAACCAGAGCATCAGGAGCCAGCGTGATATGATACCTGCCTGGGTCTCGAAGACATGCGCAGGCCGCAGGCTGTGAGTATCTTCAAACGTCGGAAGTTGGCCATCGCCAGACCCCGCCGCCGGCCATTAAAGGCATCGTGTGCTGATAAGGAAGCCAGCTCAGCAACCCCACGCCTCACCAAAATGATAATATTAATATATATATAGGTTTCAACGTGGAAGCGGCGTGCTTTGATCATCGCATGAAACAGCCGCCGTCAAGCAAGGATAGTGTGGCTCAACGTTCATTCAATACTAGTACCATCTTCACGCATTTCATGATTGACTTGGGGCCCCGGGGTTTGCCAAAGCGAAGTCACCATATGATTTGTTTGTGCATCAGTTCCAACCAAAACGGTGCCACCTGACAAATGCCACGACCTGCTGCCACAAGAGCCGGGGCTTCAACAAGATTTTAGGATCAACAGAGCGTTGATGCATGTCTGACACCATAACTGATGTTTTCACATAGGGCGTATGTAGCTCGGAGGATCTCCTTCACCGGTGCAGGCCCAGCCTATCCCAGCCCACTTGTTCCCCCAACACCTAAGGGGACCTTCGCCAATACACACGAAGGAACCTTTTTTGCAGATGCTCCTGCAAAAACCTGCAAATAGTTGGAGGCCATCGCTCTTAGGTTGGAGGCCATCGCTGTTAGAAACAAAGAAACAACGAGAGAAAGACATAGAAAGACTAGTTGGTGTGAAACTCGTGGTAAGGCATGGTCTACTGGGCCGTACAGCTGTTTGGCGGCCTTCTGGCAGGAATTGCCACAGCGGCCTACCATGGTATTGGAGGCATCGCAACCTCCAACCTGGAACCAAATGGACTCTTTGCAAGAATAGAGAGAGAGAGAGAGCAATGCGACAGACATTGTTGTTTTGTTAGCCCCTGCGAATGCAGTGCCATCAACCACGGGCTTAGAGCCATCAAACACAGCAGGGAATAAGAACAACATCGGTGTTTTGGCACTTTTTAGTTTTTTAAACGATGGCAACATGATTCCATGTAGTTATCGATGAGAGCATTTTGTCGACCAACACGCCGTGAAAAAGGATGCACCTATTCCGAGTGTCGGGACCACATCAGTGCTCAAGTTGAACTATATTCGATCGTCCAACCTCGCCGTACAACATGCCAGACTTGTTTTGGATCAAACCTTTTCCTTGATCAAAACCATGGCTGAACACTTTCTCAATGGAGTGCCGTTTCTGAGTTTATTTGGATTGAAGACTTCTTGTGTTTTACTGATGTGTGCCTAGGAGACTTTAGCTGGATGAGCGTGTTGGCCGTCGAGACAGTCTTCACATGCATTCTCTCCTTGGTTGT